GGAGCTATGCTCTCTTGCATAATATTCTTCAAAATATTCAAGTAAATATTGTAGAAAAGTGAATTGTGAAAAAAAGTATATTGTTTCTTTTCATACTATAGTTTTCCTAAGGAATATAATTTGTAATAAAACAAAACTTCAAAACCTGTGAGGGAGTAGTTACTTTCGTCACCTTCACCCCTCTCGTTTACTATGCTCACTCACTAGGGCTTGGGCTAGTTGCCCCCCCCCCCCGATAAAATTCAAACGTGGTTTATTTCTAATTCGATACCAGTGACTAATTTACAAATGTTGCTGAAATGGCATGATTTTCTCTGAGCTTCCGGGGGCTCTGCCCCCTTACCCCTACCAAGGGCCCTAAGACGGGACCCTGGTTGCTCAGCTGACCATAATTAAATGCCTAAAACACCTGAGCTTCCGGGGGCTCCGCCCCCTGGACCCCACCAGGACCCTAAGCGGGCCACTGGAAGCTCATCTGACCATATTCAAAAGCCTAAAACCCTGAGCTTCCGGGGGCTCAGCGCCCTACACCCCACCAAGGGCCCTAAGGCGACCCCTGGATGATCATATGATCATAGTTCATGCCTAAAACCGCTGAGCTTCTGGGAGCTTCGCCCCCTGGACCCCACTCCGATTACGGACCTGCATGCAAGTGTCACAAATAAGGTATCAAAATATGCTCATCTGACCCTTATTGAATGCCTAAAAACTCTGAGCTTCATGGGGCTCCGCCCCTTGACCCCCCGCCGGGGCTTTGTCCCTGGACCCCACGCCAATTTACGCGCCACTTGCTTTAATCTATTTGATCGCAAATACTTTAGGCCCCCCCCCCCCCCAAATTACGTCACTCCTCCCTCGTTCCTCGCGTTTCCTCCCCCCCCCCCCCAGTCATGAAAAGAAATCGCCGCCCCTGTATGACGCCCTACATTTTCCTGTAATGAGCATTATCAAAATCAAGATATCATTTGTTGTATTTTGAATAAACTGGAGTATGAATGAAATGTTTGAAAGTGTTTTCTATTACATTGTGGATAGAATTTATGACTTAGTGATCACAGAGAAGGAGAGAAAGAAACAGAAACCATGACAAGAATCAAAAGACAGAAAAAGACAGAGAGCATACAGAGATAGGAAAAGAGAAATAGCCCTACTGCAAAGAAAAAGAGAAAAGGAGAGATAGAGAGCCTGTGAGAGAAGTATAAATGAGAGAGACTGGAGAGACAACTAGATTAAACAGAAACAAATGTAACGACAAGAAAGAACTAGAGAGGATAGATATTTAACAAAAGTACAATTTCTTGTTTTTAATGCCAATTCTACATATTATTACTCAAATCGGATTACAAAATAACATCTTCTTGAAAGACCTTTGAAGTAAGAAAAACTGAAAAAGAAAAGAAATCGATTTCATAATGTAATTCTACTAAAACTTATTTAACCATGACTTCTATTGGAATATAGGTAATGGGTGGGGGAGGAGAGGAATAATTCAATTAACGAATCAGGGCAGCGTTTCACGAAACTGTCTTAGTATAAGTTCGCCGACATCTCATTGAAACATGTGTACTAGAATTAACATGCATTTTAATAGGAAGTCGTTGAACTTATATTTACATGCATACAAATACTTTAGATTAGGAACATTTACATGCACATGTTTCTCTTTGGTAATTTAATTGATTGAAATGACTAAATTAACAACTTTGCAACCATCATTATAATATCAATTTGCTATAACTAAATGGATTCATTTTTATCAAAAAGTACCAAAAATTATCTCACAAACATGATTCACAAACAATATGGCTGCACATCTTTAAGATGATGACGTCAGATGACTCTGAGATGACCTTCATGTATCATGATTCCTAAACTACATGTACAATTCAGACAATTAAAGTTGCATGAAAACTCATCAAATTATGGCTTACTTCGAATCGTCGTATCATCGGGTCGGGTCGGGTCGGGTGGTCGCGTTACACGATCATGTGATCATGTGAAGATGCAGGTTAAAGAAACGACCTTTCGTATAGGTTTGCCGTTGGGTTTTCACAAAGCATCTGGTAAATTAGACCAGACCAGTTGTAGAAGAGAGGGGTTTATTTCACAAACATTACTCCCGACAGTTCCTGAATTAAGGGGCTGGTTTTCACGAAATGTCAGGTAACGCGACCACCCGACCGACATGATGACCCGATGATTCGAAGTAAACCTCAACTTATTCACACAAAGGGGCATTTGATATTACATGCCAGTAGAACAGCTTGCATGCTTACACAGAGAATAGTCCTTGTAATAGCCAGAGTTTGTCATTGTTATCATATTTCAAATGAATTTTATCAACAATTTGTATTTTTATCTTGTGGATGAACCCCTTTGCATAAAGACCAGCTTTTAGCTGAAAAGGGTGATCCTTCCCATATGTGGAAAATGAATAAATAAAATAAATGAATAACAAAAAAAAGAAGCTTATACCTCTTCATATTAAAATCACACTGGAACAATACATTCCTTTTAGCTCTCAATACATAAGGGTACATATCTCAACTTTGAAATTAGTCCAGTGTTTCGTTTTCATAGCTAGTATATCGTGTATGTCATGTACAATGTATCTTTTTAATATATAGTGAACGGATTCCTTAAAAAGCAGGCCATTTAATCTTCTTTGTTAATTGGCTTGAATGGAACTACAACGAGGAAATAGAATTCAAAATGTAAAAAATATTCTCAAGGGAAAATTCTGTAAGTTTCCTGATTCTTTTGAATGTGCTCATTGTGTCACTACTTTCATTAAAGATAATACAAAGTTTTGGTATGGGGTCATTAATTTGGTTCAGATGAACATATTGCACCACAACTTCACAAGACCAACATAGCTATTACCGGTATACACTATTCTTCAAAGTACACCAGAAAGGGGCCATAGTTTCCACAAATGTTCAAGTTTTGTTATTAAACTTATGTGGGCATGCCTCCAGAAAAATTCCTGCCATAAAGACTTAGAATATATGCTAAGGAACTGCTTAAGAAGCAACAAAAACTGAAGCTAATTCCTGAATATATGCAGAAAGATACATTATTATCCCTAGTCCAAAATCTGGCAGTCTATGTGTATATTCCCTACACTTCCTTCAAGCCGTCGAAGATGGCGTTACATGTATTAATAAACTCATACTTCCAACCTAAGAATTTAAGATTTTTTCATAGAGACCATTGTCCTACCATGGGGCCATAGCAACATTTTTAAAAAAACTATGTATTCAATGAAAAAGGGACTACTAACATCCTGTGTTTGCTTTCGTACGCATCTTAATGGCCCGAATTCACAAAGGAGGTTTATATTTAACCCATGGTTTAAACCCTCATTTACATAACCTGTGGTTTAAAATAAGCGCAAAATAACACAACACAAGTAAGAGGTCCAATATTAAACGCGCGCAAGGCAAGGTATGCTTATTTTGCGCTAATTTTTAAACCATGGGTTATGTAAATGAGGGTTTAAACCATGGGTTAAATCTAAACCAGCTTTGTGAAATCGGGCCAACAAGTTTCAGGAATGGCTCTTATTTCAATTCACACACTGTCGAACATCATATTTGCAGGAGGATTAATTTATGACATTGCAAGAATAGAGTAGCTACCATCCTACATAATCTGCAGAAAGGTACAACCGCAACATCAAAAACCTATTTCTGCAACTACAGCAAACTGCGTTCCCCTCATGAATGAGTTTTCAAATGCGCTGTAAGAACTGTTTTCGTATAAAATCTCTCATTGCACTCTGGGCAAGTGAACTGCTTGCCTCCAACGTGTGTCCTCATGTGCAGCCTTAGAGAAGATCTCGAGGTATAGCTCTTGTTGCAATCGAGACACTCAAAAGGCCTCTCACCGGCGTGTGATCTTAAGTGAGCTTGTAAGTCACTTTTTTCTCTAAATGTCTTCCCGCAAAGAGAGCAAAGATGAGGTTTTTCCCCGGTGTGTGTTCTATGGTGGCTCTTCAGGGAGGCGTTACAAGCGAAGGATTTCTCGCACAGACTGCACTTGTAAGGTTTACTACCCGTATGGCTCCGGAGGTGATATGTCAGAGACGATTGATGGAGGAACTTCTTCCCACATGTCGAGCATACGTACCTTCGTTCATCCCTGTGCATGCGTAAGTGGCCTTTGAGAGCCCGTTTGGACGCTAAGACCACACCACACAGCGGACAGTCCTGCTTTTCCTTCCTGTGGACCTGTAGATGAGTTCTGAGTTTCGACTGAAGAGGGAAGGTTTTGCCGCAGTCGGGACACTGATGAGAATCTTTACCTGGGTGGGCCACCTCTAGGTGTTCTACGAGGATTGCAACATTGGGGAATCTCTCATGGCAATGATGACAGCGCACACCCCTTCTCTTCTGGCGGAATACATCTTCTTGAACTTGGACTTCAAGGAATCCCTCGGTACACTCATCACATTTATGTGTTTTTTCTCCTTCAAGTTTATTCACATATTCCGCTGGGTGGGTTTTCTTGCAGTGTGAGCACTTGTAAACGTGTTTTTCACGTGAGCATCAAAGCGACGTTTAAAGTTATACTTCTTCAGGCAAAAAGGACACGTGAACAGTTTTTGGCCTCGGTGTTGAGCCATGTGCCTAGCAAAGTGACCCTCTCGAAGAAATGCTTCCCCACACTCTACACACCAAAATTTCGGTTCTCTAGTATGTAGTTTGATATGTCCCCTGAGATTATTTCTAGAACCGAAAGACTTATTACACTGGGGACAAGGAAATGGCCTCTCCCGGGGATGTTTCTGCATGTGGCTACTAAGACCTTGATAGGTGAGAAAATCCTTATCGCAGTTCAAGTAAGTACACTGGTACATCAGCTCCGGATCATGTGCCACATTGTGAGTGTCCATGTGTTCTGCCAACTCCTCCTTTGCATAGTATCCCTTATTGCACTTTGGACAATGAAAAGGTTTGTGGAACTGCATATGACTGTTGACGGCGTGTTTCGTGGCAAATCTCTTCCCACATTTATGGCAGGAATGGGGTCCCTCACCAGGATGACCTGTAAGAGGTATGGTGTCATCTGTCTGTAAACCCTCTTTCTGAAATGAAGGGTTCCCATCATATTCTAACCTACCACTGTTCGGTTCATCTCTTTCGCACAGAGACACAGAGGAAGTTTCTTTGAGAACACTCTGCAGATTCTTTGAGACCGATGTGGGGCCGTCATTCTCACCTGACATACTTTTAAAATAGGGTTACTCTCACCAGGTTCATGTACGTGGTGCTCCTGCCTCTCCTGGAGGTCTTTCCCAGGAAAAGTATCTTGTTCTTCACTAACTTCTCTCGTCTCCTGGAACAGAGATGGTTTCGGTTTCTGTATCCTTCTTCGAGGTCTAACGGCTGTATGCTTCTTCTCATGGTGCCTCAGAGTACTCTCATGTGAAAAGGCTTTGTCGCAAAGAGCGCACTTAAACTGCTTCATTCCATTATGTGTAACGACATGGTTTTTTAGAGACTGTAAATGAAGGTAAGTCTTGTCACACAGGGAGCATTTGTACTTCCGTTCTCCCTGGTGCATGCGTAAGTGACCCTTGAGAGCCCGTTTGGAACCTAGCACCATGCCGCATAAAGGACAGTCCTGTTTCTCTTTTCTGTGGACTTGCATGTGGACTGCCAGCTTTAGTTTCAGTGGGAACGTCTTATCACACTCGGGGCACGGATGGCATTCGCTTTCAGGGTGAACCTCGACGACATGTTTCGTTAGATCCACGACCTTCAAAAACCTTTCATAGCAGTGAGGACATCGAAAAACATTTACTTTCTTGTAGGAGGAAATATGTTGGACTTTGAGAATCCCTTTATCACACTCAATACACTGATGCGGCCCCTCACTTCCAAGTTCAGTTAAATCCTCATACGGATATGACTTACCACATTGGGAACATTCGTAATTCAGTTCCCCATTTTTAATGTGTGTTTTCATGTGAAGATCAAACTGACCCTTTGAAATATACTCTTTATGACAAACAGGACACTGAAAGAGCTTCTGTCCCTTGTGTTTAGCCATATGCCTAGCAAAGTGACCCTCTCGAAAAAAAACCTTCGCCGCACTCAGCGCAATGAAATTTAGCTTCTCTACTATGTAATTTCATATGAGCATTTAGATAGATCTGAGTACCGAAGCCCTTATGGCATTCTGAACATTCAAATGGCTTTTCTTGAGGATGTCCTTGCATATGCCTACTAAGACCTTGGTGGGTGGGAAACTCCTTATCGCAGTCCATGTAGGTACAATGGTACATTATCTTCGGAGCATGCGCCGAATTGTGAGTGTCCATGTGTTCTGCCAACTCTTCCTTTGCATAGTATCCCTTATTACACTTTGGGCAATGATACGGTTTGTGGAACTGCATATGGCTGTTGACGGCTTGTTTGCTGGCAAATCTCTTCCCGCAATGATGGCATGAGTAAGGCCTCTCGCCGGATTGTCCTGGAGTCTGGAGGGAAGGATTTGTATCAAAGGGCAACCAACCATCGCTGTTCTCTTCTACTTGATCTTGATGGTGCGAATAAGACTTACTAAGACTTACATCGGATGTCCGGATGGAAGGTCTTGTCTCGTTGAGCGACGAACCATCATCGATCTCTTCTACTTGGTCTTCATGGTGCGAATAAGACCTACTAAGACATACATCGGGTGTCCGGATTGAAGCGCTTGTCTTGTTGAGCGACGAACCATCATCGATCTCTTCTACGTGATCTTCATGATGCGAATAAGACCTACTAAGACTTACATCGGGTGTTCGGATGAAAGGGCTTGTCTCATTGAGCAACGAACCATCATCGATCTCTTCTACGTGACCTCCATGGTGCAAATAAGACCTACTAAGACTTACATCGGGTGTTCGGATGAAAGGTCTTGTCTCGTTGAGCGACCAACCATCATCGATCTCTTCTCTTTGTTCAGTCATTGAAGTTCTTTCCTCAAAGACACTGTACATGGAGCCATTATGTTCCGAAGTCAAGATCTTCTCCTCACCCATCTGATATTGATACACTTGATGACTGTCATTAGCTAGACTCGACTGTCTACTGGTAGCTCTTTCGGCATCCATCCTGCTGGAGCTTCCATGATCTGTAAAGCAAGAACAAAAACGAATAAAAATATACAAGAAGACAATGAATGAATCTGCAAACAAAAGGTGATAACTCACAGGAACATCAAAGGATCAATAAAGGAAAGAGGAAGATCAATTGATCAATAAAATAAAAGATAGCGCTCATTCTTTGAATTATAATGCCCATGCAATATAGTATCATACAATGCTAGACAAAGCAGCCCATTTTCATCACTTTGTATCAGATAATGAAAAATAGCTAGCATGAAGGCGAGGAAATGCCCTTACCCCCCCCCCCCCCCCCCTCAGAAAAAGAAAAAAAATAACAAACAAACATAACGGCAATGGTAAAGTCAAGAGGCAGATTCTGCATTTTCTGGATTAAACGTCATCCTTCTATACCTTCTTGTATTGTAGAGTGAACCTTTTCTTCTTGTGTCTTTGAGATGTTAGAGTCACCTTCTTCTACTTCGCTGAATAAGTCATGATCTTCTTCCTTGGTAGCAATGTGCTCTCTTTTTTTCTGGAGTGGTGAACCAACTTCTTGGAGGCATTCTGTCTGGTCCTTAAGCTCAACTACTTCCAATGAAAAAAAAGATGATTTAAAGAACATGATAATCTGAAGTTTTAAATATTAGTTGACTCCACCTTTAAAGAGAATTTTGAGTTCTGGGAAGAGGTGAACAATAATTTGTGAGCGTTATCGTTGTATTAAGCAAGTGTGGAAGTAAATCAAATAACAAATGTTCCCTGAAAAGCATGGCTCTTTAAAAGCCTTAATATTCTTAATATGGCATGTAACATCATGAAAATCGGGACATATTTTCATGCCACACGTCCCATATACATCTTTCTGTGTAGAGTGCTTGTACGTACGGTACCAAGACTGGGCCAAATTTCTTGTCATTTTGATGATTCCAGAGCCTTGCAGTACACAACAATACTTATATGCTAGATGATCAACCTTTTCTGATTGTTTCCACAACGTTTCTTTCTCAACGCAATCTCATGACCAGAACTCAAATTTTTCTTAAGTACCGGTAGTTGGACATGACGATACAAATATATATGAATGGCTGTAAACCTTTCAGGATTACTAATGCAGTAAAATGTGTTGTTCATGAATAAGAAACAAATAATTGTACACAATCATTAGTCTTTACATCTACTTTTGGGCAGATAATATCCCTCTATCTCCTATCTTTTGGGACTGTCAAATCAAGTTAATGAGGCAAATCACAAAATGTGACAATATACCTTTTTTTGTAAATTAATACAATTTAATGCATAAGTCTTTAAGGGCCATGTTACAAATAATTGTATTTTAATAGTCAGAATGCGAATTGTATTATTAACTGTTGCTAGGTCTACATGGCTTATCCTACCTTACAACATGTCATGTACGCAATTTGTATTCTGACTTTTGAAATACAATAATGGGTATTGGGTAACAGGTGAATGGAATGCTTTGTATTAAACAGGGCATTTAACAAAGATTTGTGCAGTACATGTGATGACATCACAAAAATTGCCTATTGCTCAATTATTTAAAGGGGACCAAAACTAGCCAGAACCTCTCTATGTTGTTTAATGTACCAGTAGTATACATGTACCAGTATGTGTAATGAACTCTGAAAGACGTTGCCCCCCCCCCCCCCCCCTCCCCTCCCCTCCCCAATAATTCTTCATAACCCTGTAACTCTTTAGAGCTAGGGGGTTACTCTTTGTACCCCCTCTCCCCAATATCACCCCAATATCACCACTTTTAAATTTGTATGTTATTATATTTTGTTACAGCAAGAAAATGGAGTATTGGGTCAAAGTTACACAATAATCTTTGACTTCACATATGCCACACAAATGAGCTCCCCGTGCCACAGTGTATATACCAAAGGTTTCAAGGTTTAGTAACTGTTAATCTATTCTATATGTGAAAAAGGGTTGTCATGGAGCTAATCAAGACCTGAAATGGGATATTTTGCAAAGCGATTGTGTTGCACAAAGCAATCCTTCCTTCAGAATAGGCCATTTTCGTAATGTAACCAAATTTGTGATGCATAAGTCTTTGTGAAGTGCCTCAATACATATTGGTACATATTATTCCATTCACCTGAAAAGAATAATAGTCTTTCAATAGACAGAATCAGAACTGCATACATTAGTTGTTGCCAGGTTGGACAAACATTATGGCTTGATCGACCTACCTAGCAACACTTGATATATGCAGTTTGCATTCTGACTATTGACATACTATTATTCTTATCAGGTGAATGAAATAACTTGCATTGAGGCACTTCACAAAGACTTATGCATTAAATTTGGTTACATTAAGAAAATGGCCTATTAGTGCCTACCGTTTCGTGCTAATTTGCATGTATGGCAAACGTGTGACTGTGTACGGACATGAAGAAAGCAACCGAAGTGCAAATCATTTCATCAATTAAGTAAAGTGTGTGGGAAATGGAGAGATGAGAATACTAGAGAGAGAGAACGAAAGGGAAATATGAACGAAGAGAGGGAGAGAGGGAGAGAACGCGAAAGAAGAGAGAGAATGAAAGAGGAACAAAGAGATGGATTGAGAGAGGGAAAAGAGAGAATATATCAAAGAGGAAGATAGAGAACGAACAAGGAACAGGAAGAGAGATAGAATAAAAGAGGATTAGATGAAAACATAGATAATGAAAGAAGATAGAGAATGAACGAGGAGTAAAAGAGTTAAAAAATTGAAAGACAATATAGAGAGAGATAGAGAGAGATATACTGTAGAGGAACAGAAAGACATGAAGGAACAATTAAGCAAAGCAAGGAGATAGTGAGAGAGGGATAGAAAAAGAGAGAACGAAAGAATAGACAGGATTAAACAGAAATAGAAAGAGAGAGAGAGAGAGAGAGAGAGAGAGAAGATTTAACCCTTTCCTGCCTCTGTTGATAATTAGTAAAACCCACTGCCTGCATGTACATGTATACAGAATACACACACACCCCAAAGAGGTGTCACAGCCAATGCAGTGGACGGTGATGTCTCTATGCACACACACACAGGCACACAATTCTTTTTGTACACAAAATCCTGCATGTGGAGTATGTGCATTGCATGTACAGTACATTGTATCGCATGTATGCTAATGCTCACAGGCACTATTGTCAACATACACGAAGGCTAGGATGGCGAATTAGTGGGCTTCCTGTCATTGTAATCAGTATAAAGAAACAATTTGCATGGACCTAAGGCCTGAATTGTGCATATGGTAATTTAGTACTATTCCCTTTCCAAGGTATTCATCAATATACATTTTAAGGCTTATTAATTAATGGCAATGAAAATAGGCTTGTTTAATTAAATGTTCAGCTAGCACAATTTACACAGTGTGAACTACTGAATACTGATTGTTTCAAAGATTAAAGAGTCTGTTAGCCTTTCTTTGCCAGGAAGAAAATATTAAACAAATTCCGGGGGCTACTTTTCAAGCTTGCTTGCATGAGAATAACACTCTTTAAACTTGTTTTGCATTGAACTCTATGCAATTTTTTTTTTTTAGGGGGGGGGGGGGGGGGGGGGGGGGGGCTCTTTTAGGCATTTCAGGGGCTAATTCGGCCTGAGCCCCTGTGCATTTTTTTCCCTGAATGATGATTTTCGCGCTAATCATTCCACATTTCTCGGTTTGGCTTACTAACTTGTATATGTAAAACATATTTGTATACCCCCCAAAAATGATTCTACACATACCTACAACAGGCGCCTGGCAATTAGATGATGTCTCCCAGCTGGTTTGGGGTTCTTCCTTGATGAATTTGACATTGAAAACCTCCATGTTACTCCTTTGCATCATCTCATTCATCCTTCATACAGTCCCTGAAAGCAAATGATCAATAATTCAGATTACAGATGAGCCTCGTTATAAGGATCGAGGTCCTTGGGTCCATAAAAAATACCTTGATTGTTACATGTATATCTGGGTAAAAGAAAAGAATATTAAGAGCTGGGACCGGCAAAAACACCTTCCTATTAACAGATACCTTGTTATATCAGAGCTCTTTATACTGAGATTATACTGTACTATGTGATCTTCTCCATGAACAATACACGCTCGGCCATTTATAAATAATACACTTACTGTCACATAAAGCAGTACCGGTAAACAAATACCTAGGTGATAGGGCTTTTTAGTACTTAGGTCTATACTTCCCCCAAACTAGGCTACCCCGAACCTGGAACTCCTTACCCCTTGTACTCTTGCATGCAGCTTCCACAAGAAGAACTGGAAACACATCTTTTCTAATTTCTCTTAAAGCGGGACTACACTACTTGCGCCCTCTATATAGCAAACAATGCCTAAGTGGTACCCGTTGGTCCCCCATGATCCCTTTTTCTTTTGTTAAGTGAGAGCCGATTTGATAATTGAGATAAACAAAGGGTGCGGAAAGCATACAGCTCCGTCTGTGATTTGTTGACCATTTGTGCAAAATTGCAAGTGTGGGAAATGAGCGACTGTGCAGGGACAGAGAGAGTCAAAGCGAGCAACTGAACTCTGCCCAAACCTTGCAGCCTCTCAACCATAGCTTGTCCGAGTATTATCGTACTATACTGGGGTGTGTGCAGGTGGACCACTACTCTTATAGGAACAGTGTAGTGGCCGTTCTTAACATGCAAAGGAAGTGACTCTTCTCTACACGGGACCTCCATCTAACGTCCTATCCGAGGGACGGAGTGTTATCCACGTAACATAGCCTGCGTCTATGAACAAGGGGAAGGGCACGTTAACACACAACGCAGGCTTCAGTCATCCGCCTGGGTGGTCGACAGGCAGACGTTTTACCGACTGAGCCAACTTGTTTCCTAGCTGCGGGATCACTACTCATGGGCATGGCCATGTACTGTAGGCCTATAGTGCAGTGTGCATCCCATGCATGGATTATTCTATCGTTGTGGCATGCATCGATTAGTAACATGGGAGATATTTTACCATATAAATGTTCATGTACAAAGTCATTGTCTCTGTACAAAATCAACAGAACAAAACATGTCAAAACTAGACCGAAAGATTCAGTCTCTGATATTGACGGTTGTTCCGCTGAGACTGCATCTGATCTGGCTCCACTGTCACTGATCGCCTTGGAAGGTTGACAAATGTCAGTGTTTCATAAAGAATTCCCAAGGCCCAATACGGCCAGTAGGCAATACCAGACAGTTATTTTTGTCTAGTCAAAACAAAAAGAAAAGAAACATACACACAATTCACAAAGGAACTTCATTATTCATCAATTTTAAACTATGCTAGCTGCATGATAAAAAAAAAAATCATAGATCTATGTTATGTATCGATCGATGCACATGATAACTCAAATCTCACCTCTCAATACTCAAATTGCATTGTCTCAAGACAATAAAAGTGAAGACTGTAAACTTCAATTTTCGGCTCGGGCTCAAAATTCAAGTTTAGGCTCTGCAGCATCCGGTCATATCAGAGTCGAGGTACGCAGAGGCGGCGAATGGAATAGCGGGCAGCTGACGATGATCTTCCCCTGAGAGTCGGGGGCGAGTCCCATGTAGCATACGCCGCGCCTGTCAGGCTTGGATTTGATATTGAGTCCAACTCCAAGCCTTGTTTTCTGCAGTGCTGCTAACTTTTGAAAATCATTGGTTTTCATTAATTTTGACAGGAACCTTCAGCTGCAGATAGTCTGGATTCAACAACGGGTAACAAAAACTGCTAATCCCGAGAAGAAAAACGCGTTGATCCTTCAAACTTGTTGTGCACCGAGGTCGAGTGGTTGTGTTACAGTACGCGGGCGGCCGGGCGCTCGTAACTCATGCGTTACGCAGAAGGGGATCCCTATGGTGGCCCTGAAGGGACATCGCGAATAGACTAAATCGTGAAAAATATGCGATAAAATTCACGATATCGTCAATTTTATCGCATATTTTTCACGAAGAAATTCACGAAATTGACGATATCGTGAACTTTATCGTGAACTTTTTACGATGAAATTGACGATATCGTGAATTTTATCGTGAAAAGTTCACGATATAAAGTTCACGATATCGTCAATTTTATCGTGTACTCTATCGTGTACTCTATCGTGTACTCTCCTGACGGGCGCTTCGTAAACAAAACCAGCCCTAGCTGGGGGAGACAGAGAGAAGGAAAAAAGGGAAAGGGAAAGAGAAGATAAAAGGAAAGAAAGAATAAGAAGAAGAAAAGAGGGAAACGGGGGGGGGGAAGGGCGAAGGGCTCTTGCCTCCTCCCCCCCCCCCCCCGCCAAAAATAAATAAGAGAGAGAAGGGAAAAGGGAAAGAAAATATAAAAGGAAAGAAAGAAGAGGAATAAGAAGGAAAGAGGGAAACGGGGGAAGGGCGAAGGGCTCTTGCCTCCTCCCTCCCCACCCCCCGCCAAAAAAATAAATAAGAGATAGAGAGAGAAGGGAAAGGGAAAGGGAAAGAGAAGATAAAAGGAAAGAAAGAAGAGGAAGAAGAAGAAGAAAAGAGGGAAACGGGGGCGAAGGGCTCTTGCATCCCCCCGCCCAAAAAATGAATAAGAGAGAGAGAGACAGAAGGGAAAGGGAAAGAGAATAAAAAAGGAAAGGAAGAAGAATAAGAAGAAAAGAGGGGCTCTTGCCTCCTCCCCCTCCCGCGCCAACAAATAAATAGGAGAGAGAGATAGAGAGAAGGGAAAGGGAAAGGGAAAGAAAATATAAAAGGAAAGAAAGAAGAAGAAGACGGAAAGAGGGAAACGGGGGAAGGGCGAAAGGCTCTTACCTCCCCCTCCCCTCTCCCACCATAAAGGGAAAGAGAAGGGAGAGGGAAAGAAAATATAAAAGGAAAGAAAGAAGAGGAAAACGAATAAGAAAAGAGGGAAACAGGGGCGAAGGGCTCTTGCCTCCTTTCTTTTCTTTCTTTTCCTTTCTTTCCTATTCTCCCTCTTTTTCGTTTTTCTCTTTCTTTCTTCTCTTTCCCTTTCCTTCTCTCTCTCTCTCTTATTTATTTTTTGGCGGGGGGCGGGGGGACGAGGCAAAAGCCCTTTGCCCCCGTTTCCCTCTTTTCTTCTTCTTCCTCTTCTTTCTTTCCTTTTATCTTCTCTTTCCCCTTCCCTTTCCCTTCTCTCTCTCTCTCTCTGATTTATTTTTTGGCGGGGGGGGGGGCAAGAGTCCTTCGCCCTTCCCCCGTTTTCCTCTTTTCTTCTTCTTCCTCTTCTTTCTTTCCTTTTATCTTCTCTTTCCCTTTCCCTTTCCCTTCTCTCTCTCTCTCTGATTTATTTTTTGGCGGGGAGGGGGGGGGGGGGAGTGAGGAGGAGACAAGAGCCCTTCGCCCCCCCCCCGTTTCCCTCTTTTCTTCTTATTATTCTTTCTTTCCTTTTATCTTCTCTTTCCCTTTCCCTTTTTTCCTTCTCTCTGTCTCCCCCAGCTAGGGCTGGTTTTGTTTACGAAGCGCCCGTCAGGAGAGTACACGATAGAGTACACGATAGAGTACACGATAAAATTGACGATATCGTGAACTTTATATCGTGAACTTTTCACGATAAAATTCACGATATCGTCAATTTCATCGTGAAAAGTTCACGATAAAGTTCACGATATCGTCAATTTCGTGAATTTCTTCGTGAAAAATATGCGATAAAATTGACGATATCGTGAATTTTATCGCATATTTTTCACGATTTAGTCTATTCGCGATGTCCCTTCAGGGCCACCATAGATCCCCCAACCAGCAATTTCCTCCTCCGTTTCGAGCAGAAGGGGTCGGGTTTGTTATTGTTGTTGGTGTTGATGTTGTTTTTTTTTGGGGGGGGGGGGGGGGGCGGTGGGGGGAAGAGAAACAAAATTACTAGTCATTCGCCAAAAGTTGCCCCTCTTATTTTGCTGTTTTCTTTAAACTATAACCAGACGTTGTGGCCCGAATTCACAAAGCAAGGTTTAGCTCAGACCAAGGTTTAAGTTTAAACCTCCTTTTGTTTCGCCAAACCTCCTTTTGTTATTTACAAACCAGGTTTATAAATAACAAAAGGAGGTTTGGCGAAACAAAAGGAGGTTTAAACTTAAACCTTGGTCTGAGCTAAACCTTGCTTTGTGAATTCGGGCCTGTGTGTCCGAACAAGCTAGTTCGGTTTATATATCCTGACAGTTGTTTCGAAGGTAGGCCTATATTACTATTAGTAAAGATTATTATTATTATTATAAATTGGAGAAGTTTACATGCAATTTAATAATATAACTTATATAAGACATTATTCTAAATGATAATATGTAGGATGCTTTTTGATGCATATATTTGTCAGGGATATTATGGCCACGTGGTTGTTTATTAGAATTCCCCAAGCACTACGCCCTTTTCTGTTTTAGACTCTTTTTGTTTTCTTCTTGATAAAGTACGCGATGTCGTATTCATCAGATATGTAGTATAGTATGACTAAATAAACCGTATTTATTTTCGTCGTCATCATAACGCTCACTTATAGGATATGGCTGGTCTAGCTAGGTTAAAAAAAGTTGCAGCCCTGGAAGCCCCCCCCCCCCCCCCCAACTCGGTGTTATATAGGGTACGTATATGCTTGTTCCCTTGGATGCGCGCCCCCTCTCTCAGGCTGCCAACATTTCTGACCCCCCCCCCCTTCGCTGCCTTTATGGAGACCCCCTAAATCCGGAAAACTGCTCAATGTAGGCCTACCCCCTATCTATGATATTCAAGATACATGTATTTCATATAAAACCTTTTTTTAATTTCTCAGGAGTCCATATAGAAAGAAAGAAAAACAACCCCCTTTTAATATTTTATAAATCCCTTTTGAAATTTCTCATGAATCCAGAGAGAAAGAGAAAAAAAAAAAACCCTTTTTAAAGAAAATCTCTGGGTAAAAAGTTGAATACACCCCCTTTATGTTTACAGTTCTTGGGCCACAAAGTACCCCTAGCGCTACTCCTCCCTCCCCCCCCCCCCCCCCCCCAAAAAAAAAAAAAAAAAAAAAAAAAAATTGTGAGAAAATATTTTGCTGTGAATAAGCGAGGGGAGGGGTAGTGAGCACTATTTTTTTTTTTACTCCACACACCACCACCCCCCTTCCCTCCCTTGAAAGAAACAAAACAAAAACGGTTTTAAAGGTGTTTTTAACTTCTTTTTGTACCCTGGGGTGGGGTCCGTGCCTCCATCCCCTATGGCGGATTGTTCATAATAAATTCAGAATTATCAATGCCTTAATGCTTTAATTATGCATGTGTTAAGAGCTTGTTCATAGGCCTGCATAAAATCTGTAATGACTAGATTATATCACAACTATTTGTATCAATTTTTTAAAAATCTCAGTTAAAGGGGCAGTCCATCCTGAAATTAAGTTGGTTTTAAAAGAAGCAGAAAAATGAGAGAAACGGGTCAGTCAACTGAAGTTGAGTAATATCTGATTAAAAATAAGGAAGTTATCAAGTTTTGAATTTGTAATCAATGAAAAACAAATTGGCAACTCTGTGACGCATCATGCGAGCTCAACTCAGTGGTCAGTACTAAAAATATGAGAAATGTTCATTTTTCCTCAAGAAAATTGTCAATTATACATGCACCCTAAATATATTTATTGCATATGTTTCTATATACTACCACATACTGCAAGGAACAAATAAGGTATATTCCGTCATTAATGAAGACGAAAACGTGATTTTATGTAATATTATGCTCAAAGCAAATGGAAGGAGGGCTTGCGTCACATACGTCACAGAGTTGCCAATTTGTATTTGATTGATAGGGTACGTATAGAGAACTAGAGTTACAATGACAATGGCAATGAAATAACAATTTATTCTCATGTCACTCACATGGGGGTATTGGAGAAGTTTACAATCAGTTTGAGTTTGTCGATTTAACACTGTACAGTATACAACTCCAAACAAATTAATTTTAGTCAATGAAAATATCACTAACGACGATGGTGATAACAGTTAAAATGATGATAATAATAATAGTAACAATAATGATAACAATCATATAGAAAAATAATTAAAATAATAATCATAATAATAATTAATGACAAAATTAATGGAAGCAATTAAAAAAGAAAGTTAATGGCACCAATAAATTGTTATTTGAATTAATGAATTACTGAAAATATTCTTGATATCAATTTTATAATTTGATATAAGACACAAAAAAAGAGAAACATGAAGATAATATTGAACTTGTAACATTTAATGTACACATACTTAAATTAGTAATGGAAACAAAGTTTAACTTTGTTAAAGAATTTCACTAAGTTTAAACGTGTTGTGCATTATTGGAGTTTAAAAAGCTGATCCATTTTCAGTGTATTCGGTTTTTCAATTCAATATTTATCAAGGAACAATGTTGAATGTCACGCGACACCATTTCAGCTATAGAATACAAATACACTATCATCAAACTACAACACATTCTTGTGTCTCCCTTGTACATCAAAATGTTGAAATATAAAAGGCACTGCAAACTTTATTTCAGTAATTTATGACCATCCAATATACATAGAAAGACCTGGGTTAAGTACATCATATTGCATGACATAATTCAGAATAAACTCACTGTTACGTACAGATCTGAGCGATTTGAATTGTCTATCATGAAAATCATATCAGAGTGGATTATAAAAATGACATCACTTAATCAGAAGAGGATGGTGATCAAAAGGCAAGGTAACGGAATGCTCATGAGAGTACTGCTTACGTTTGTATCTTATAAGCCAATCAGGAATGCAAACTTACTAAAATATAACTCTTATTTACACTGTATGTATGGCAAACAAACAAGTTTAAAATATACATGTTATGATGTATGATACCATTGCATAATCATAATCATCATGATGTGAAGAAAAGCCTGGAATATGTATCATACAAATTATTGGAATCCAGTACTGAATACAATTAGAATAAACATGTATCATACAATTATAGCAGCATATTTATATGTACAATGGAGTGATGTAATAAATGGATGGATTTATTATGTAGTACTGGTCACTGGTGATTGTAGTTAAACATGCACAAACAATAATCAATTTCAAATAAATATTTACACTGATAACTCATGGATATTTACATTGACAAAAGAGACATGTATCTTAAAATTATAGCACATATTTACATTTACACTGGAGTGTTGTAAAGAAAATCCAGGAAAATATCTTCTCAGGTGGATTTTAACATGAAGAACTAAATTTACAAACAATAATACATCTCTAACAAACTGTTACACTGATATAAACTCAGGCCGGTATCCATACACCCTTACCAGAAAAAGCTAGTTGTCAACTATCATATTGAGAATATCAAGTTAATATACAAGATAACTAACGATATGGCTTTTAACATCTGGGTCATTCCTGGTAACAAATTCTACTTAACTATATTTTCATTGAACATGTGCAATGACATTTTCATAAGTTATTTGAAATGTTACATTCTTCAACTCATAACTCACTCTGTGAAAGTTAGTTGGTATTTCATACATTGCATGCAAATTACCTAAAGCAAAATGATTAAAGTTTACAATACACATACTCTCAACATTATATTAAAGCTGTCTAATGTATGATTGACTTATTTGTTATTCATTTCAGCTTTATTAAACATGGGCTTCAATTTAACAAATGATTTCAGGAAGAGCGCTGTGATCAAAATGCAGGAACGCTTAGAGCAGAAAAAAGTGAAAACACAGAAATAATCTTCACTCATTCTATATCATGATGATATTGTGTACTGGGAGTCTAGCTGATAGACATTAACCACCGAACAGCACTTGTATGTTGTGCAGAAAACTAAATCTTCAATTGTGTGCGGTTAGTTGACAATGTAGATAAAACAATAGTTTTTTAGCTGGGGCATCTCTGGTGATAAATCAAACAATTCATTTCAGACTTTATTTAATTATATTTTTATCAAATACCGTGCAAGTTAGTACATCCTCCCTTGTGAGTGGTTAGTTGAAATGATAGCAAGAGTTGGTGTAGTGGTTCACTCACTTGACTCAATCCCAGTGTTAAGGGTTTGAAACCAACCTAAATTGTGTGCGGTTAGCTGACAATATAGATACCGGTAAAGGAATATAGTTCTTTAGCTGGAGTCGTTTCTGGTGATAAATCAAACAAATTATTTCAGAATTTATTCAATCATAGTTTCATCAAACAAATACCCTGCAAGTAACGACATCCTCAATTCTGAGTGGTTAGTTGACATGATGGCATTAAGAGCTGGTATATCAATAAAATACAGTGCAAGTAATTACATCCTCCATTATGAGTGGTAAGCTGGTATAGTAGTTCACTTACTTGACTCAATCCAAGGGTTGAGGGTTCAAATCCCAGCTAACCCAGCTCTAACATCCTTGACAAGGTATTAATCCACATTTGCCACTCTCCACCCAGGTATTAATGGGCACCGATATGCCAAAGCGCCACATATTTGGCCGCTGCCTAGGACCAGAGTAATAATGTTTGAGTGCAAGGAGGGTCATGGCGCAACGGGCGTGTGCAATATATCAGAAGCCACTATTATTATCGTTAAAACTACTATTCCCTGGTGTTGTCACCTTCTATGTATGCATAATACATGATCATAGCCAAGTCCAAAAGGACCCCTATTAAGAGTATTTTCAAAAACATTTTCTACAGAACGATACCCTTTTCTGCATAAACAGGTACACAATGGGCCCATGATGCAACTCTGTTTTGGGCCTTTTGAGTACACATTTACAACACGTATCCAATTTTGGTATCACTTTCTACATGGGCCTTTCACAGGTATTAGAACATTGTGACAATATAATGTTCTCTATCTCGTAAAGTTAACACCAAAAAGTGGACTGTACTCATCAAGGTGAAAAAGAAGAACACAGCGTTTTCAATAATATTCAAATTTTTGCAAATATTGCAGAAAATTGCCCCTTTTTACCCCAAATTTCTTGCTATCAGACCAGGACTCAAAACCCACAGGCTAACCAGGACACATGGACAGCCAAAACTCTAGGGCTGGACCCCGGAATTTTGAAGATTTTTCTTAGGACTCATGCATACAGAGTGTAAAAAGTTAAATCTGAACCTCTTTTCCAAAAAAGAAGTTAGTGTGGAGCCCTGTATCATACATACACAAAGTCAAGATGAAGTGTTACCACTGGGACACTGTCTTACTCTACTACCAATACCATAGCAATTAGACTTCATACTTTCGATTGCTTTCCTGGAATTTCAGGATCATCCTGTGGAACTCTTGACTGAGTAGAAGGAGCTTGCCTCTTGTAAGGTCTGCTCTGACTACTGCTACCTTCTCTGTGTGTCTGAGAGAATTGACATACAGCATCTGATGTATTGCCAACATGCTGTTGAGGGTGATCTGATGAAGGTATTGTCCTTCTTGGAGAGTGTACATCACCCATGGGTTGCTGTTGAGGGTGGTCTGATGGTGGTGATGTCCTTCTTGGAGATTGTACATCAGTGGTAACACTGATGTTGGCCAAGTCAGCCAAGCCATCCGAGTCATTTGAGCCATCCGAGACACTCAAGACATCCGAGTCATTTGAGCCGTCCGAGATACTCGAGTCATCCGAGTCACACAAGCTGTAAAGGAAACAGATTTTTGTTATTATCTGTTTGAAAGATGAGAAATAAAAAATTGACTACTATTGGTATTATTGAAAGTACCAGTCTCAAGGAACATTTTTAACAGTGAATTAAGAAGAAGAAGAAAAAAAGAATACAGTTTACAAAAAATATCAAGAACTCACACAAAAAAAGGACTCAAACATAATCTATAAAGTCAAGGTTGACAGCACTTTACAGTAAGGAATTTGTACAATAAAGCTGTTACTGAATATTTTGTGTTTTCAGACATGAAATCTTAAATCGTTTTAAAGGGATCCGGTATCCTGGATTTAGCTCATGCTGCAATTATAATTATAAACCTTTAGGTCAGTCAGGAACTACATGACTTTTACAAGCCGATCGTCTGTCTGATTATCAAGATATTTATGATTGGAAATCGAAACCAAATTTTGCGTTTGCCAAACGGTTTTCATAAAACTACAGTCTATTGGGGAAAACGAGTAAGGTAAAACTGGTCACTCAAAGATTTGTACTTTCTGAGGCACTTCTTGATCAGTTTGAAGCGCCATTTTTTTAGGGCTTCAATATTACACCATATCACAGATACTGGTAGCACGCAAGGCCGTGCATCTCAGATTTATCATTGTTAAACGATCCCTTTAAGGTATACAGTATCACTTTATTGCATGCTCCCTGATGGGGTATATATCAGCATTGTATCTTTTCTTGGTATTCCATTAGAGGCTCTTTATATTGTTTCTTTATAGCACTACTCATGAAAAGCTTACATGTTGATATCTAAATTTCTTTTAAAATCACATATAGGCCTACTGTACTAACCTTGAGAGGGTGTGAAGAAATGAGTTCAAGTCATCTTGAGCAATTCCATTGAACCTGAAGTTTCCCTTTCTTATCTGAGGAAAACAACCCTGTAACATATAACAACAACATTACTTGTAAACAGTTACAAATAAGTGGATCCATTTCATTATGGCATATAATCTATTTTCTTAGGGACTATACACCTAAGAGCTACAGTAACATCTCATAAACAAAATAAGTATGGATAATGTAAAAGAGCTAGGGTAAGACAAATTTTGCACAAGAAATTTACAAAAATTTCAAAAATAAATGGATCCAATACGTACTGCAATTTCATGAAATCCTGTTATATTAATCATAGTGGTAGTTTTACTGTAGTAGTACTGGTAGTAGTATTCACTAAAGCAGTAGTAATTTAATTATGATACTGAAATCAAGTATACAAAACTACCTGTTAGAACAAATCTTAGACATACCGTAGTTTTCATATCTATCAAACTTGGAAAAGGTTGGATATTAATTATTGATCAAAACAATGTCAATCTTATACACACTTGGATTTCAACTGAATCAGTACGTACATTATAGTTTGCTTTTATTCCATGTTTCACGACTACCAATATACCAAGTGAATGGCTGTTAACAAAGGGTGTTTGGAAGAAGAAAAATATAATTATATACATGTGCCCCCTATAATCATTACTGCTCTTTTTTGTCTGCAATGAACCTCTCCATGACATTGCCATTGGGACACACATACCTGTATGGATGATGCATGTGTTTTCAATGAAGATAAGAACTCCTCAGGCTCCTCATTGAGATCCGTTTCAAGTGTCAGGTCAGACAGGTTTGGCATATAACACAGTGCTTCTGCTAGGAGCTGTGATGATGCTGGTGTGGGAAACCTGACAGCATGAAGCTTGAGAGTCTTCACCTGCATTCATGATGAATATATTTAAATAACTCATCTGTACATGCATACATTTTATTTACAAATTTATCACTGTATTGTTACATTAACTACAAATTCAATTAATTACATAGTTGTCTTCATAATAAATTCTCAGCAAACATTTATAAATAGCTTTTTCTTTTCATAATTCAATTCTTGTCTATTGATAAAAAGAACATAATAAAGTTTCCATGGAGAGGATGATTTGGTAATAGTGATTTGTTCAAAATTCTAAATCTATTCTTCATAGGGCTTCCAGCCTGTTTGCATAGAATAGCCCTACTCCTACTTACACTGAAATTGTTAATATGCATAAATATATATTTGCTATTATTGTATTTAAGGTATTCTTAACTCTGGATTTCATGTGCACAAGACCCCTAAGTCAGGAGGTTTCTTGCTTTGGTTCAGTTTGGTGAATTCAAGCCTTTTTTAAAATTGGCTCTTAAAAGTATGATATGACATATTGTTCCTATAAATCATATTCAGAAAAGGATGGATATGGATTATTGATCAAAACAATGTCAATCTTATATACACTTGAATTTCAACTGAATCAGTACATGTGAGTTTGCTTTTATCCCATGTTTCATGACTGTATCAATAAACCAAGAAAATTGCCTTTAGAAAAGGGTATTTGTAGAGAAAAACATATATATACATGTGCAGAGCTGCCAACCTCCAGAACAGAAAATCAGTAATCACAAGGCTCAAAATCAGTAATTTGGGGTATAAATCAGTAATTTCTTATGCGGCGCTATGAATCTAAAAAAACGACACGCCAACACTGCGCGGACGCATGATTATCTGAAATTTTTGGTGATTTTACTCACACAAAGATGTTAAGTATTGAATTTCAGGTCATCACAACACAGTTTATCATGAAAAATGGCTCCTATTCACAGCACTCGCTACGATAAATCATATTTAATTCATTAAAAAAAAAAAAAAAAAAAAAAAAAAAAAAAAAAAATCTTTTTTTTTTTTTTTTTTTTTAAAATCCGTAATTTGAGACAACATTCCGTAATGGTCGTTAATTTCCGTACCAATTACGGAAAATCCGTACTAGTTGGCAGCTCTGCATGTGCCCCATATAATCATTACTACTCTTTCTTCATTTCTATGACCCTCTCCATGACATTTACATTAGAACACACATACCTGTATGGATGATGCATTTGCTTTCAATGTACAGTAGAACTCCTCATCCAGATCCATTGGAAGTGTCAGGTCAGTCAGGTTTGGCATATAACACAGTGTTTCTACTAGATGTGATGATGCTGGTGTGGGAAACCCGACATTATAAAGCTCGAGAGTCTTGACCTGCGTTCATGATGAATATAGTTAAGTAACTCATCTACACATGCATACATTTTATTTACACATTTTAATTACACATTTTCCCCTATATTTTTACATTTCATACAAATTCCATTCATTACATAGTTGTATTCATGAAAAATATTTTCCGCAAAAATTATTAAATAGATTTTCTTTTCATATTCAATTATTGTCTATTGAAAAAAGAACACACTAACATTTCCAAGGAGAGGATGATTTAATAAGAGTGATTTAAATAAAAACTCTATATGTACTCTTTATAGGACTTCCAACCTGTTTGCATTGATAGGTCCTACTCCTACTTATACTGAAATTAATAATATGTATTTATATACATTTGTTATTAAAGTATTGAATGTATTCATAACTCTAAATTTCATTTGCCCAAGACCCTTGTCAGGAGGTTTGTTGCTATGGTTAAGTTTGGTAAAATGAGGCCTTTATTAAAATTAGCAGTAATAAAACTGTATGACATATTTTTCATAACAATCAAACTTGGAAAAGGTTGGATATTGATTATTGATCAAAACAAAGTCAATCTTATACACATTTGGATTTCAGCTGAAACAGTACATGTATAGTTTGCTTTTATTTTATTTTTTATGACTTTACCAATATACCAAGTGAATGGCCATTAAAAAAGGGTGTTTGGAAAAAATGGTGTATACATGTGCACCATATAATCATTACTGCTCTTTCTTTCTTTCAATGAACCTCTCCATGACATTACTATTGGGACACACATACCTGTATGGATGATGCCTGTGCTTTCAATGAAGAGAAGAACTCCTCATTGAGATACATTCCAAGTATCAGGTCAGTCAGGTTTGGCATAGAACAAAGTGCTTCTACTAGATGATGCAATGAGGCTGATGTGGGACATTTGACATAATTAAGCTCAAGGGTCTTGACCTGCGTTAATGATGAATATAAATAAGTAACTTATCAATACCTGCATACATTTTATTTACTATTTTCTGACTGTATTCTTATATATTATACAAATTCCATTCAATCCATACTTGTATTTATAATAACATGTTATTCTCAGAAAAAATGATGAAATAGATTTTATTTTCAAATTCGATTCTTGTCTCTTGAATTAAGAGAACATACTCACGTTTCCATGGAGAGGATGATTTTTTAATAGTGATTTTTTTTCTTCAAAATTCTATATCTATTCTTTACAGTACATAATTATTTTGTGATCTTCCTACATGTAAGTTTCTTTTAGGGCATTCAAGTTAATATATGCATACGACTAATTGCATATTACTCCCCGCCCACTCTCTAGGTTTCCACGGTGAATATTCAAACTTAAAGGCTTTTGTTAACACTGCTGCTGCCTTAGTGAAACAACCATTGATATCCTTCGGTCAAAAGAACCAGCATGTGACATTAACAAAAATTAAAGGAAATCAAAATGTAAAAGGGAAGAGATGGTAATAATGGGGTGAAATTAAATTAAACACTTGAACATGCATTACAATTGTGGATGAAATGCTCACCTTTGATTCTTTTCCTTTCATTGCAAGTGTTGCAAAAAAACAATGATGGAATTCACCTTGAAGAGAAACTACCATCAAGGATGGAATTGAGCATATCATCTCTGCAACATCAAGTGACACAGAAGGTCCACAATTTCTCTGAATCCAGAGTTTAACCTGGATAAAATGACAAAGTGATTACTGATGGGATACAGAATATAGACTTTTACTTGGATGTTAGGCATACACGTGTAGTCTACATGAGCGGTTGCCCTAGATGTGCTACTAGAACTACAGTCCTTTATGCACCATTCCATGATTATACTGTTGTATGGTAAGAAAATTGCAAAAGACATAAAAGTAACTAGATGGAACTTCGACTGCGCGCAATCGAAAATGATGCCTCCGTCATAAAGCAATTTTACAAACCAAAGCAGAAGAATTTTTTGAAATTCAAGTTCAATTGTAATCCATTAACAGGTTCTCAGAATATCGTGATTACAAGCAATTTCTCATATACATATATGACCCTTTGATCTTTGACCTCATGACCCTAAAATCTACTCAGTTCATTGGCTCTGCAAGATGTCCTGAGTTAAATAGTAATCCATCTGTCAGTTCTAATAAGAATGCGTTCACAAGCTATTTTTGCATACATGAGCCCATGACCTTTGACCTTTGACCTTATGAACAAAGAATCTACTCAGTTTATTGGCCCTGCAAGATACATAAATGAAGTTTGGCAGGAATCCATCAATCTGTTCTAATGAGAATGCGTTCACAAGCTATTTTTGCATACATAATGAGCCCATGGCCTTTGACCTCGTGACCCCAAAATCTAATCAGTTCATCGGCTCTGCAAGTAACGTACATGACCTAAGTTTGGCAGGAATCCATCTATCGGTTCTTGAGATAACGCGATCACGAGCTGTTTTAGCATACATAATGAGCCCTGTGACCTTTGACTTTGTGACCCCAAAATCTAATCAGTTCATTGGCTCTGCAAGATACATACATGACCAAAGTTTGGCAGGAATCCATCAATCGGTTCTTCAGATAACGCGATCACGAGAACGGGACGTACGTACGGACGGACAACCCGAAAACATGATGCCTCCGGCTACTTCGTAATGGAGGCATAAAAAAGGTACAAAAATGGATGAACTAACTTTGTTTATTAAACTATGATCAAACTTACCAGATATGGACCAATGAATGCATACCCAGCTACAGTGTGTGCTGTCATAGGTGTGTCCACGATCAGCACAGTCTCCACTGATGAATCCCTGTCCTTCACCAAGGCTGCTACATCTGGGTCCAGACTCTCAAAGGCTACATCAACAATGAAAGGAATATTCCTGTATACTTTCCGAAGCATAGACTTCATTACATGGGATGCAATACTTTTGTTCTGTGACACAGTGAAGTACAGGAGATACCTAAACTCCTTGTATCTTGGCAGCACTACTTGCTCCATCAGCCTGTTGAATTCATTAGGATCTGATTCATATAGGGAAGCAAGGTGGACTCCAGCCATGTACTCCTGAAACAGTTTGTGAGGGAAGAAGACTGGCAATTGCACATGAGAATGCCTCTCATGTGTATCCGTGTTAGTGGTGGCAATTCTCTCCTCTTGAGACAAAATTCCAACCCGACATGCAGTGTCCTTGGATTCTGGGCATATTTCAAAATCATCTTCACTGAAAATCAAAGTATTTTCTAGCAAACCATTGAGGGCCTGTTTGGCAATAGGTACAAGGTCCTCATCAATTTTTTTCAAATGGGCAATAAGTGAGGGGCTGCCTACTTTCTTAACCTCTTTCTGAGCATAATGTTCTTTTAGAAAGGCAATCATTTCTTTGAATATCTGAGAAAAAGTTTTCAGTGATTTCATTTTCTTTAGTTTTTGCTTGTCAAGTTCTTTCCACATAAGACACAGCATGGCTACATATATAGGATAGTGAGCCATGTTTTCAGATAGGACATCATTCCCACCGATGAACTGGATAAGCTGATTTGCTTTATCATCATTCTTTGGAAAGTATTTGTGAATGTAAACTGACAAATTCTCTCTGCTGAAACCCTCAATATGAATGAATGTATAGAGCTTCATTAGATCACCATCTGATCTAATCTCTACTGCTCTCCATGGGCGAGTGGTCACCAAGATTGGGCAAGAGGCAAGTTGATCTGAACGAAGAATATCTACAAGTCCAATATCACCAGTCTCAGATGAGCTTCCACATGCCTCTGAGGAGGTGACACTTGGCTGTGATGGCTGAAGTTGCATTTGATCAGTAGGCTGTGATTCGCAAGATTCTGTCTTCATGATTTTGCCACTGACTTCGTCTAGAGACCATCGAATGCGATGAATACCTTGTCAGGGTTTGACCAGATATACTCAGTGATCTGAGAAACTGTTGCTGGATTGTTTTTGGCCAGATAAGACTTTGCAATCTGGCCAATGGTGTGTTGCTTAAATTCACGTAGAGGAACAATCAAGACCCACACAAAGTGACTGAAATGCCTTCCTTCAATCCAGTCCCAAGCAATCTTAGCACAGAATGTAGTTTTCCCAGCCCCTGCCTCTCCCTGAACCATGATCCGCTTGGGGAACTCTCCATTGACTTTGAGATCAAGGATATCATTGTAATCTAGCAATCGCTTCACTGTACCATGTTCTTCTAGTAGGACGAGATTAGTATACATGTCTTTAAGCTGCACAGTGGAAGCAGGATTGAGAGGATCAGCTCTGATCTTACAGACAGTTGACCTGTACTTGAACTTGAAATCATTTGCACACCGCTCAACCAGTTCAGGAGAAAGTGGTTTGGTCTGAGATTCAGCTAAAGGAGGTTTGGTCTGTGATTCGAGCAGTCTTGGTGGCCCTCCTAAAATGCATAGATAATCCATATTCACATGATTACACATAAACATATTCTGATATATCTGAAAGGATTGTAAAGGTCTGAGACTGATAGTGTGGCCTACAACTACGGTAGGTGCATGTACTTTATTATGTTTTATTTATTTAAACAGGGTAGCCCCGTCAGTAATCAAAGTACTGTTTTCCAGGGGGCCCTGTACATAAAGACACAAATTCCTACAAGTTTGTCTGAATTTATATGACTTCATTCAATTTTTAGCGCATTTAAAATCTGAGTAATTTGTGTATACATGTACTTGTAGATGAATATCACTGGAATAATTTTTTTTAGGACATTTCAGCAATGCAGAGTTTTCCTGACAATCACACATTTTATTCTGAAAAAAAACAAGACAAATATATGGCTGCATCTCCAGTATGCCTCCGCCTAAATTCAGTTAAGATCACGGCTTGAATCAATCTTTGAATATCAAAATGAGAATATGATATATCAAAACATGTACATCGAATTCTGCTGTCACTCAAAGTACTTCTTCTTCCTTCCTTTTTGAGTACAGATCTCTTTACAGAGTATTATTGTACTATACTGGGGTGTGTGCAGGTGGACCCCTACACCGGGGTTTCCCCCTACTCTTATACGAATAGTGCAGTGGGTACTTGTACTATAATGTGTCCCGAAAATATCTAGGATTAACCAAGTTAAATTAGTAAATTAAAAAAAACATGCATGGGGCCTGATCAAATTTGACACTTCTGTAAACTGTGGCAAATGTATAGAACACAGAGCACTCACTATCTCAATGGTAAAAACTCCCTTCACTTTTATGAATGGTTTTCTATGTCTTCTGCAGGGCTGCGTTTTATAAAGAGTTATGATTGATCTTAAGTTTGATCAATACACGATGGATATTAACCTTTCGAACAATCAAAAGGCTTTATAATACATGGCCCTGGTATAGCAGAAATTAGTATCTGCCCACCTGTGCTGTTTGGAATTGGAGGTCCATTGACTAATCCGTCTGATAGGCCACCCAAGTCAACCTCTCGTAGTTTGTCTGCCAAAAGCTGTCTTTTGTCTGAGTGTGGAGGTTGCTGCTTGACATTCCATTTCATAAAGACATCCATGAAGGCATTTTTGAAGTTCTTTGAATTCTCTATCAGGTTTGCCTTTAGCTCAGCATGGGAGAACCCTAGAGATATCCCTACGTTGTAGTAGTAAGATGGATCGATATCCTGGGCCAGCTTCAGGAACTCCATTTCACTGACGGTACTGTAAAATGAATAATAAATCAATTGGGTGTGATAAGATATTAGTTAGAGATCATCCTATTGGCTTATAAGCTATCATGTGACACTCAACTATTTGTTTTATGTGCTCGAGCATATATAAACAGCCTGGGGATAAAAGAATATATATTTCCTGTGATATTAACATTTTAAAAATATTGCCCCAAATTGCATGTGAGGGCGGTATTCTTCTGGCAAAGGTAATCACTCCCCCAAAAGCAGAGAGATTGCAGTAAATACAATAATGATGATGATAGTAATAATAACACGGATAAGAAAAATATTATTACTACTTCTAATAATCAGGGCTTAAATTAATCCAAGGCCACCAAGGCCAAGGCTGTGGAAGAGTGCCCTTTTGATTGGCCTCAATGCCCCTCTCATTGGCCTTGGAGATTTGTTGTGCCCTTCTCAATTCTTCCTATTTGTGCTGTAATATAGGAATGGGCCCTACAGAAAAGTGGCCTTGCCCTAAAAATATTTAAATTTAAGGCCTGAATAATAATAATGAAGTTTACATTATTAAAACTAGAATTGATGATGATTATTATTATCATTATCATTATTATTATAATCATTATTATCATTACTATTACAGTACTACTACTAATAAACTACTACGACTACTACGACTACTACTACTACTACTACTACTCTAATACTGTAGAGGTGTTGTGGTCTAGTGGATACGTCGCCAGACTGTCGATTCACAGTTAGCGGTTCGAGTCCCCCCGCCGCACTAATGTCCTTTGGCAAGACATTGATCTACATTTACCACACTCCACCCAGGTGAAGTAAATGGGTACCTGCTATTTATTCCTTGAAATGCTAGAGCGCCGTATGGCAGCCCTGCTAAAGCCAGGGTAATAATCGGGAGCACCAGGAGGGTCAAATCTGACTGACATGAACGCTATACAAGAACCTATTATTATTATTATTATTATTATTATTACTACTACTACTACTACTATTATTATTACTTTCATCATCCTGATCTGTATTGATCATGTATATGTATATACTTTATACCGGTATTTCGTATTCACATGATATCTTAAGTGTGGCATATAAAGAGAAGGTTGAGTTCTAGAAAAGGTAAAATTAATGAGCCTTTTCATTCCGTTTTTAATAATGTGGAAGAGTATCATAGAAAAAATGTTACTTGAAAAAGATGGCTCTTCAAATGTCCTCATATTAAAAATACGAAAAATAATTTGTTGTGGACCACACTAATTTCATGCTCCATGTTTTTGTAGTCCTATATACACATTTCTGTGTCCAGTGCATGTGACTTAGCAAGACTGGGCAAAACAATAATTGTGACAACTCCAAAACCAAAAAGAAAACACCAATACTTTTGCGCTCCATGCATGATCAACCTTTTGAATCACTTCAATAATGTTTCTTTTGCAATGCAATCGCGTGAACCAGAACTAAAATTTATTGTTCACACCCAAAGGTTCCTATATGTATATGGGCTTACTTCAAACCAACGCGTCATCACTTCGGGGCGGGTGCTCTCGTTACCCGGCCTTTTGTGAAAACAGGGGGGGGGGGGGGGGGGGGGGGGGGGGTAATAAACCTCTCTCATCTTCAAATGACCTGGTCCAATTTACCTGACACTTTGTGAAAACCCTGTGGCAAATCTACTAAAGATCACATCCTGAAAGTGTATCTTCACATGATCTTCTGTTTCATGAAATGTTGTGTAAGACAACCACCCGACTGGACGCGATGACCTGAAATAAGCCAGTATAGTTATGCATACCTTTCTGCAGTGTTAGGACCTGGATTGGTTTCAACGTCACCAGATCTCATCAAGCAGATCAGGAGTAGGTAGAGAAGGCAGAATCCATCCATGGTGTAAGATCTCTTTCTCACTTGACAGAAATGTAGATCTCTGGAAAATGGTGAAGACATGGACAACAATACCTGAAAACAATAATCAGAAATATCTACATTAAGTTCATAAAACAGATGGAATGAGGGTTTCAATTCACTATGTCCATTTCATAATAGTGTGACATTTTGGGGGCTTTCTGAAACCCATCCTTGGGGGAATGGCTGGGACCTGCCTTCAGTATCTTTGTGGTCATATATATCGATGAATGCTGTATTTGGGCAGATAACAATGATTTTGTGATTTTTGTTTGTAGTTGTCAATCAGGGTGCATGGGTTTCTTTCACTTTCGAGTGAAAGTCCTCATGTCATCAGGAGCTGTATTTTTTTTAAAGCCCCACTGCACAACGTATAGCTACTCACGCCCTCTATATAGCAAACAATGCCTAATCGGTGCCTGTTGGTCCCCCGTAATCCTCTTTTTCTTATGTTTATTGAGAGCTGATTTGATGAGATAACCACATGTTAGTGACCATGCTGCGATGTCTAATCCCTCCTGGCTAAACTAAGTAGTATACATTTCTACTTAGGTCACTGAGCAGATCATAGTTAATTATTTTCCAAGAAGCATGGAAAAAGCATTACAGAAGATGGGTTTCTTTGAGCCATAAAGCAATATCCAATTTAAATCATCTTTCACCACTGGATTTCTCTTATCAAGAGCTTTACATTGACTGTATTTGAAGAAAAAAAAGAATTGTTGTTATGGGCAATTCCACGATTACTCACGTTACATTTGGAGGGACATTGACTACTCATTGAGCTCTCATTCTCTTATAATTGGTATGACCTAAGCAAGTTTTCAGTAAATGAAAGTATCTTAAAGGTACTATGTCCCTTTTGCAGCCAACATCAAATTCTGTAGAACTTTGCAGGAATTATGAATATGTCATATCTGTTAAACATTATCAGTGTCCTAGTATTCAAATTATGCAAGGAAAGCCGTTTACCTTCTAGACTTCACTGTCAGACACTATTGAGTGACCGACTGACATCTTTTTTGTTGTTGTAATAACATACATGTACATAAATGAGCTGTAACAGGTACATTAGCATACGTCTACATATCAATGACCCACTGACACTACTTGCAATTGCCAACATTAAACTGATTGGATCTTTGTGCAGCACAAAACATACAACCATTCGGTAAAAGGGTCTGAAAATCACTATTACTTAGGTGATTGCGATTGCAATTGCAACAACTTATGGTCATTATGTTTCCACTAAAAGTCATTTCCAAGCCCTTTTTTTTTTGAGGGAAGTTCTAAATACGTATTGTCTTTCAATGGTATAGATATATACCAATGGCTTCAAGTTCAATTGTCTATTTCCAGAGCAAGATTGATCTATACTGGTGTTTACTGTTTAAAGGGTTGTCATGGAGCTAATCGAGACCAGAAATGGGTAATTTGCAAAGCGATTGTGCCTCCACCACAGTTATCCTTCTACATGACTTGTATGGTTTTGTGCAAAATTGCAAGTGGCAATGAGTGACCATGCAATATGCAGAGGCTGAGAGGAAGCAAAAGGCGACAATTGCTCCCCGACATTTGCTCCGACGTCAAATGCTCCCCGACATTTGCTCCGACGTCAAATGCTCCAACGACATTTGCTCCGACATCAAATGCTCCGCTGACATTTGCTCCGCGACAATTGCACCGACGTCAAATGCTCCAACGACATTTGCTCCGACATCAAATGCTCCGCTGACATTTGCTCCGCGACAATTGCACCGACGTCAAATGCTCCGCCGACATTTGCTCCGCCGACAATTGCTCCGCGACATTTGCTACGCGACAGTTGCTCCGCCAACAATTGCTTTGCCGACATTTGCTCCGCTGACATTTGCTCCGCCGACATTTGCTCCGCCGACAATTGCTCTGCCGAAATTTGCTCCGCCGACAATTTCTCCGCCCCCAAAGTACCCTGTTGAAGACGTTGAAGACAAAAAGAAAAGAAAAGAATAGGACAAGAAAAGGTCAAGAAAAGAGAAAAGAAAAGGCTAAAAATTAAGACAAGGTAAAAGGGACACAAAATAGAATATAGGAAGATTTGATTTCCATATTTTTGCATTGGCCTATAACTTTGTGTCGGGACGATGTTGCTATAATTAATGACGGTAAATCCTGCCGACGCGGCGTCGGGACACGTAGGGGAAAATGAGAAATAAAATGGAGTATGAAATATACTACATGCTCGTGAAATAATCATTGATTGAGAAAAGGGGTGGTACTGTAGGTAGGCAGATGGTTTTCAGTTATAATATGAAAAGGATGAAAATTTGCTTGCTCGCTATGCTAGAGCTTATGTTCGTAATGCATTTTGTACATCAGTGATTAAAAAGCGATGCTGGGCACGCAGATGCTTTTCAATATGAAATGGCAATCCAAAGAATTTTGACCATTCGCTAAACTCGCTCGCCAACAAGGAATAAACAATAAATTCTGAAATAATACTTGCCCATTTGATTCAAATTAAGAAGCGTAATGTAGAAAAATTATATTCAAGATTATAACCTATGATTTTTACCTTCCTTGTTCGCCAAATTAAAAAATTAGAAACAAACAAATAACGTCCCTTTAAATATGTTTGTGCCCTCCCTTTCACGGGACAAGAAGACACAATTACTTAAAAAGCTTAAAACCACCCACTCGCTAAAAAAGAAATTGACACCGCCTTAACTATGAATGTGTCCGACCCGTCCCACAGCAAGAAAACTCTGTTTGATACTCATTATTGTTGAAAATAATTTTTTGGTTGACGCTTGCTGTCCAGTTTATGGTATAAACATGCTCATTTAATCAAGGAATGAAATTAAGCAAGAAGATGCTATTCAATATTAATGATAAATCTACATTTTTAGCTCTATCTCTCGCTATATACCATCGCTTACCAATAGGGAATTAATATTACCTTGAATGATATTGTGCCCGAGAAAAAATAATCACTAATTTTGTTGAAAGAAGGTTGAAAAAAGTTTCTGCACCAGCCCCTCCCTCCCCCCTCCAAAAAATGATTGCGTCTTTCGCAAAGGTTTATCACTTTTTTTTCCATCAGTGTCTTCTGATCGGGAATTAAAACACCTCCCCCTTCTCAGAATGCTGGCTACGCCCCTGAATAACAGCAACAAAACAAAAACAAAAAATAACCCATGAAACTTGTCAGCGGAGCAATTGTAGGTGGAGCAAAGTCGGCGGAGCAATTGTCGGCGGAGCAAATATCGTCGGAGCAATTGTCGGCAGAGCAAATATCGTCGGAGTAAATATCGGCGGAGCAGTTGTCGGCTTAGCAACTGTACGCGGAGCATTTGACGTCGGAGCGAATGTTGCGGAGCAATTGTCGCTCTTTGCGGAGCATCTCTCACCGGAGTAATCGTCGCCGGAGCATGTGTCTGGTTACCGCTGAGAGAGGCAAAGAAATCAACCTAACTCTGCCCAAACCTTGCAGCCTCCCAAACATGTAGCTGTGGGATCACAATCACATTCACTACTCATTGGCCAGTACTGTATACAGTGTAGATAATAGTGCACAGTGCATCGCATGTATGAATTATTGTTGTGTCATAATACTAGGCTTCAGTCTATTTTTTAGTATTTTTTTAAATGAGATTCATGCATCACTTGGTAGCATGGGATTGAGAGATATTTTTGCACTGATACAAATGTACACATAATTTGTACATGTAGACCTATGTACAACTACAACTACAGTACTACAAGTACAACTAGTCTAGACTACGAGGTCATTGGAAATAGCGGCATACATATTCATAATTAAATGATACACGCCAATGAAAATTAAAGAAAAACAACAAAAAACGAAAAGAAAGAACAATTAAAACTATAAAAAAAGAAGACAAAAAAGAAGAAAAGAAACGAGCACACAAATCAAAAGTAAAGTCCAAGACCTTCCATTAATTGCAACTTTACTGCATGTAATCGATGCACATGATAACTCAAATCTCACCTGTAGCTCTCAATACCAATTGCATTGTCTCAAGTCAATAAAAGTGAAGACTTAAGATTGTAAACTTCAAGCGTCGTCTCGGGCTCAAAATTCAAGTTCAGGCTCTGCAGCATCCGCACCCGGTCAATCCATACTGGAGCGCTAGAGGTCAGTGACCGAGGAACGTACGTACGTACGGAGCGGCGGCGAATGGAACAGCGGGCAGCTGACGATGATCTTACCCCGAGAGTCGGGGTCGGGTCCCATGTAGCATACGCCTGCCAGGCCAGGCTTGGAAAGCTACCTCACACAACACAGGCTAGTTATTTGATATTGAGTCCAAGCCTTGTTTTCTGCAGTGCTGCTAACTTTGGAAAATCATTAGCCGATTTTTTTTTCATTAATTTTGACAGGAATCCTCAGCCTGGATTCAACAACGGGTAAAAAAAAAATGCTAATCCCGAGAGGAAAAACGCGTTGATCCTTCGTTGGTCATACGTTGACAAACAAATTACGCGCGCGCGCTCGTAATTTATGCATTACGCAGAAGGGGATTCCCCCAAACACTGACCTCTACCAGTACCACCCAGCAACCTCCTCCGTTTCGAGCGGGGAAGGGGTTAATTGGTTGTTGTTTTTGGTGGGGGGGGGGGGGGGGATTACTTGTAATTCGCCCAAACTTGCACCTCTTATTTTTATGTTTTCTTTTAAACTATAACCAGACGTTGTGTGTCCGAATAAGTTGTTTATCCTGACAGTTGTTTGTAAAGGTATAGTTTGAAGAAATTTATAGCGGCAATTTTTCATAATCTTCTATTACTTATATATTAGACATTATTCTAAAGGATAAATATTTAGGATGCTATTTGATGCATACATTTCTTGGAAAACATGGCCATGTGGTGGCTTATTAGAATTCCCCACTACGCCCTTTTCTGTATGATTATATCCACATTACGCGTTTAAAAAGTTGCGACCGACCCCCAGAATCATATTTTTTGTTTACCGCCTTTTAGAAGAAAAAAAAATGTAATGAATGAGAAAGTATTAAAGCATTCAAAAATGAGAAATATCGGCCCAAAGAGGGAGGAAAACAAGTCTAAAAAAAAAAAAAAATTCGACCGACCGATCCATGAACATTTTTTGTATAGACCTTATAGGCCTATAGAAATACATTTTGATGGGTTTTTTTTTTGTCGTAAAAAGAGTAAAATGATTGAAATATGGATCCGCAAAAGGAAACCCAAGTTCATGAGTAAATTACCCGATATTTTCTTCTCCTGGAGTGGTGGTGGTGGGGGGAGGAGGGCCCGTGCCCCCTCCCCCCCCCCCTGATCCGTCAC